ACGTCAGGATGGCCCTCTGTTCCCGCCACGGCTGCGGGCCTCTGAGCAGCTGGCCTCGAGGCGCTGGGGGAGGTGGGCGCCTTGTGACTGGCCTGTCACCTCCCCCAGCTGCTACGAGGTGAACCTGCGGGGCTGCCTCCTGGGAGACCTGCTCGTTAGCTTTGCGCAGCCTGCGGGCAGCCGGGAGGAGGCGAGCTTCGTCTGCAGGCTCGGGGAGATCCAGGTGGGCCGTGGGGCGCGGGTGTGGGCGGAGGGGCCTCTGGTCGCACAGGAGGCTGAGGGCCAGTGGGGCGGAGTCCCCGAGGAGCGGGAGTGTGGGGCGGGCACCCTGCGCCGCCGGTGGGCGTCAGAGCGAGCCCTCTCTCTCCCACCAGGTGGTGGATGCCGACAGCCTGCTCCGCCCGCTGCCCCGGGTGCAGGCCGTCACCGTGTCCCGCGTGCGCTGGCAGCCAGCCACGTCCGAGGAGGAGGAGGAGGAGGGGGGCGTCCCTGCCCTACTGCGACTCAGCTGCACCCTGCACTGGTCCTACCTCCTCTCTCCCATTCGATGCTTCCGGATCCACTGCCTCTCAGGGAGCGGCGGGGGCTCTCCGCGCGTGGGGCCGCCGGGGCCCGAGAAACCCGCGCTCCTGGGCCTGGCCTTCGTCAACCAATACCGGGTAGTGGAGCTGCCGGTGGCGGCCGCGGGGCCCGGCAGGGACAGCCGTGTGCAGTTCCTGGTGGAGCCCGTCCCCAAGGAGGGGTTCCTGGTGCCGCAGGCCGAGTGGGGCAGGGCAGCCCTGCTCTACTCCCTGCCCCAGCTGTGAGCCAGCGCCGAAGCTGGCGTCTCCCCGCCTCCGGGCTCAGGGCCCCACGCGGTGTGTGGGAGCCCACGGGTGCCAGATGGCTGTGGCTGGGGCTGTTCGGTGGTGGACGCCGGTGACAGGAAAACCAAGAAGTCCGTTTGCTGGGCCGATGATTTCCTGAGGTTAATGAACTCCGTTATGTCTAATCCCTTTCTGGAGTACAGACTCCCAGGTACGACGGACGGGGTTTGGGAAAGCTAGCCCCACCAGCTCCCCAAAGGGTGTTTCCTAACTCGACAGGCTTACGTGGGACAGGAAGCCTCCCAGCAGGCCCTGGAAGCGATTCCCAGGGTGAGGGCTGGGGGCTGAGCGTGGCAGGGAGCTGGGACGTGGTGCCCTGGGGGCTGACCTGCTTCCCCTTAGGACTAGGGAGCCCAGGGCCCGGCCGGCACCAGGCTGCACACCCCACCCTGGGCCAGGTGGGCCGTCCTCGTCCCGACCTTCCGTGTTGTGGCTCCTCCGTGTGCGGTCCTGTGAGCTGGAGCTGTTTGCAGAGCCTTCCCGTCGGCCCCGCGCGCTGCTGTGTCTCTTCTGGGCCGTGGGTACTGGCGAAGCTTGCACAGAGCCGGACTGTGGGCCTTGGCTCTGTGTCTGCGGTGAGCGAGGCTGTCCAGGCTCAGGGAGTGGGAGGCCGGCCAGGGCCCAGGAAGGCCCTGGGCTGCGGCCTAGCCCAGCCTTGCAGTGGCAGCTCTGGCCGTCTGCTCCTTCCTGTCCTCCCGCCTCAGCCTCTCCCAGGGGAAGGGGTGGGGGGGGGGCGCCGAGGCCCCTGTGAGCACAGGTGCCTTGAGAACCCTCTCCACTGGGCCCCCTTCCTGTCTTGCCACCTCTTCTGTCTTCTAGCACCTTCCTTCCCTCTACCTGGGCTGAGGCCAGCCAGAGGCTCTGTGTAGGGAGGAGAGGATGGGGTGAGTGGGCCAGAGACGCCCCCCCCCCGACCACACGGCTCCCCTGGTGACCCCGGGGCCAGCATGCTGGCCTCCAGGGGGTGGGCGCCCTCCACCCCGTAGCCTGGGGCTCTCTGCTGCGCCACCCAGCTTCTGTCCTCGGCCTGAGCAGCGTCCCTTGTTCTGGGGGTCTTACCCCCGCGTCTCACAGGGCCGTTGATGGGGGGTATTATGCCCATTTCTCTGCCCTCCACCTGTGCTATGCGACATGAGGCGGTGCCAAGGGCCATGACCCTCCCAGCTCGGGGTCCCGCCTCTTGGCTGTCCTTGGGTGCAAGCCCCAGTCCTCAGCCTCGCTCCTACGTTGTAGGGAGGGGAGCGGCCACTAGGTGGCAGTGCAGCCGCACCGCTCCTGGTTGTCCAGAATTCAGGAGTCTGAGCCTGGTCCAGTGGCCCTGGCGAACCTGGCCCTTAGGACGGCAGAGGGTGTGTCCCTCCAGGGCTGCCTCCATCCCCCCCCCCCGGCCCAGGTGCCTCTTTCCCAGGGGGACAGAGGGACATTTTACTCTCCATGTCCCACATGTGGCCCAACCAGCTTGGTCCCCTGTGGGGAAGGGATTTGCCCAGCAGACGGGGAGGACAGCTCAAGCAGGACAGGAGGACGCCTCCGCTGACCAGCTCAGAGCGCAGGTCACCCAGCACCTGCCTGTCCCCGTGAACCTGGACAGGGCAGTGGCAGGGGGACCAGAGTCGTGGCCGCTTGGAGCTGCTCCCGCGACCGTGTTCTTGGTGTGGACCACTGGTTTGCTTTGAGCCTCCCGTTTTGTACCGGGGGGTCTGGCTCTGCCCCCTGTGTCTCCAGAGGCGGGAGTCAGGCGAGGCAGGGTGCCCGGAGGTAGGCAGCAGCTCTCCATTGTCGCAGCCTGTTGGCTTGAAGTGTCTGTGCCCCTGGCCAGTTTACGCAGAGGAGGAGGGAAAATTGATGGTGCAATTATTTTCTCACAGTCTGGTGAGCAGGCGATGAGAGGTGAGGGGTTAGAGCGCGGTGCGCGGTGGGGCCAGAGAGCTCCCGGGAGCGCTGTCCCTTTCCCACGGAGAGTAGGGGCTCGTGGGCAGGAAAATGAGTGTGTTGGCATTTAAGCCTGCGCACGTCTGGAGGGTGTCATCACTCTGAAATAAATGATCCGAGGTGAAACGTGAAAAACTCGTGGGTGAGCTGCGTTGTGGACTGGCTGCCTTGGTTTTGGGACGTGGGCTTGGCCCAGCCGCTCCCAGCCCGGGGCTTGGACCCTCTGCTTTGCTTCCCAGTTCCATTTCGTCTTTTGGGGGGCTGGCGAGGGTGGCAGCTGCCCTCCACCGAGCCTCCCAGGGATGGGGACCCGTGCCTGTGGGCCTCCCTTGAAGCAGCCCCCCGACTCCCTCAAGGAACCACCACCCGACCCACATCACAGGGGCGGTGGCCGCGGTGTGGCTGGGATCTGGGGCCCTCCGCTCTGGGACGTCCCCAGCCCCGTCCCCTCTCCTGTCTGCACTGGGCGGGCCACAGCTGCTGAGCAGCGCGACGACTGGAGGCCCAGCCGGGTGTCTGTGTGCAGTAGCTGTTGCTCAGCTGGGAGGGACCCTGGGTGGCTCCTACGGTGCACGGCAGGATGAGGCAGCTGGGAGGACGCGCGTGGGCCCTGCCTCCAGCCTGTTTTGGGTCAGGGTGGGGAAAGGAGCCGGAGGATTGGGGCCCTGGAGTCTCTTGCCCAGAAGGGTCTGCCCGGCAGAAGGTGGGCCAGACCCTGGGACAGGCTGCGGATCCTGGGCCTGCCCTGGCGGGTGCCCCCGTACTCCACCCCCTGGCCCTGGGGGCAGCCAAATAAAAAAGAGTTGTCCTGGTTTGAAGAAAGAAATCTTTATTAATAACCTTAATAATACTGTTGATTTGAATGGTCACACCTTGGAAGCATACAGAATGGTAAGAAAGGAAGCCTGGGGCCTGGCTGCAGTCCTAGGGGCGGGGCGGGGCGGGGCGGGGGCGGAGCAGCAAGGGGCTCTGGACGGGCGGGGCCGGGCGGGCGGGCTCTGTACAACAGGAATAGAAAAGGGGCTCATTTCAGGAGCTTCAGGAGCTGATGCTGAATATATAAAGTGAGGTGTGGTTTTTTGTTTTTTTTGTTTGTTTTTAAGTTTCATGAGACAGTGGAGCCGTGTTGGGAGCCTAGGTCGTATTTTTTGCTGCGTCCCCTACTCCAGCTCTCCCTGCCTGGCGGGGGGCCCCTCCCTGCTGCCCACCTCTGCTCTCCCGCCACCCCGGGACCCGCACCTGGGTCCCGGGCGATGCTCCAGGCCTTTCCCCGTCTCTCCCCCTGCTCGGGCCTGGCCATCCAGCCCCGTGGCGCCGTGACTCCCGATCTCGCCGTGCAGCCAGGCACTGGCCCCCCCACCCTGGCCCTCTGCTCCCCTGCAGGACAGTGCGGGGAGGGCTTGGCCCTGCAGGCGGCAGGGAGTCAGCAAGGGGACAGGAAACAGGCTAGCTGGGGCCCGTCCGAGCTCGCCCTCGGCCCCGAGGCCTCGCCCTGACGCTCACTCTTAGGTTTGAGGTGTGATCCTGGCTGGGCGGCCCGGGAGCCCCCTCACGTGGAGCAAGGGGGGCCTGGGCGCCCCACAGTTCTGGAACCATGTTAGCCCTCGGTGTTGGGGGCCGGACCCCAGGGCTGCCCGTCGGACTCTGGTGGCCTGCGAGCCCCTCACCAGGTTTGCAGAACACGGTGCTGGCGGCGTGGCGCAAGGGGAAGCCGGGGCCCAGACAGCTGGACGTGAGGGTGACGGACACGGGCCGAAGCCAGAGACCCCGGGAACGAAGAGCTACCCCCACCCCCCTCAGCCCAGCCGTCCCCTCCGCTGGCACAGTTGGCAACAAAGGTCAAGTCCTGCTGGCTGCTCTCCCGGCTCAGGCCTGCGGCCTGTTCCTCCGTGGGGCCCGCGTGCCCTGGGAGTGGGGGGCCGGAAAGGAAGACTTGGTAGAGAAGAGGCCCGTCCCCCTCCTGCACTCCCCGCCGGCCGGGCAGGGGTGCTGGCGGCCCTCGGTGGCCAGGGAGGGGCGGGGCCGCCGACGTGCTCCCTCGCTGCGCTGCGCGGCGCCTGGCGCGACGTGGACGTGGTGGATGCTTCTCGGTTTGGTTGGTTTTTTTGTTGCTTGGATCTTAACATCTTTTTTTGTTTTTTTTTGTTTTGTGATTTTTTTTTTTGTTTTTTGTTTTTTGTTTTTGCCCTTCATGGTCCAAGAAGGAAACGGTGGAAGCTTTCACTACAACAGAAACAGAAAGGCAGGACTTGCAGTTTCACGGAAGCAACGCCAGGCGTGTCTGAGGACGGACAAGGCCTGGCGTCCGTGCAGGGAGGGAGGGGCCGGGGCCTTGCAGTCCTAGCGCCCCGCCAGCCTGTCCCCCGGGGCCCAGCTTCTGGGGACCCATGGTCTCGCGTGAGCTGAACTGAAAGCCAACCCTCTCTGGGGCGGAGTGTGGGGACCGGTGCGGGCGAGAAGGGGCGGCCGGAGCGGCTGGCTGGTGCCGCCTCTGGGCTTGGCCCACGGAGCGGGGGCCTGGCTGGCTCTGCGGGGGCGAAGACAGAGGGCGGTGGGTGGACGGCACAGGCCGTGGGGGGCTGGGGAGGAGGCGGTGCTCCTGGCAGTGGCAAGTGAGGCAGCCCGGCGCCTTGGCCGGGTCCAGCAGCTAAGAGCCGGTGTGTCCCGGCTGGTGGGGGGCGGGTCCACACTCTCTAGCTGGCACCGGAAGCCCAGCTCTGGCACGCTAGGGGACCTGGGCTTCCCTGGCCTGAGACACCTCCTGGAACGGAGGCAGGGTGCCGTCCCGACTGGGCAGCCTACCCCATGAGGCCACCTGGGCTGTGTTGGCTTTGCCCGCGGGCCCCGGCCAGCATGCTCCCACAGGGCCCTTTACAACCCTGGGCACCGCGGGGCCACTCGGCCACAGAGCTAAGCACCATGCCTCTCTGGACGGGAGGCTGGCTTCGAGTGCCGTGTCGCCGAGCAGGCCGGCGGTGGGCCTCCCCACCACGCCTCCCCTGCTCGCCCCTTCTCAAGTGTACCCTGATGAAAGGACGTTTCCAAGCCTGGGGAAGGGGAAGGGCGCCGGGCTGGCCGGGACCCCATCTCTGGCAGTGAAGGGTGCCATCTTCAGAGCATGGCTGGAGGGGAGAGCCGCTGCTGGAGGGAGCACTGCGGGCGAAGGGCCCTCGGCTCCCGTCCCCGGTGTTTCTTCCTACGCTTTTGTTTATTACAACAAAGGCTAAGCAAGGAGCCCTGAGGCCAGTGTGGCCTGTGGCCGTGGCAGTTTCCGCCTGCACTGTCGTCCTCAAGAAATGCGAACCGGAAATGTTGGGTTTCAGCTGCGGGTGAGGAGGGCAGACGCCGCTCCTCCCGCCACCAGCTGGGGAAGGTGGGAGGGGCCGTGGTCTGGACCCGAAACCCGCTCCGGCGGACAGGAGCTCCTCCTCACTCCCCGGACCCCAGGGGTGGGGCAGTGGCTGTGGGTGTCTTCTGTGGCTCCATAGCCCCAGGGGATGGGAAGTGGGGGTCGCCCTGGCGGGCTCTATTGCTAGTTCTCCGGGAGGGGTCTTGTGCCCAGGCCAGCCCCTCCCGCTGCGCACATACTGTACCTGAAATGGCTTGGGGGGAACATCATCAACAAAGTCAAAATAGGAAGCAAGGTTTCAGACATACAGGGGCAACCAGGGTCAAAGACACACACGCCATCGTGAGGGGCAGGGAGACCCGCTGGCTGGAGGTGGACCCTACGGGCTTTGGCGTCGCGGGCCGCTGACTGGGGGGGGCGCACTGTCCTCCCGGTGGCTGTGCCTGGTTTTGGACTGCTGGGTTTGGTGTGTGCTGAGCAGTCAGCGTGAGTGCTGCTAGGGGCTGGGCCCCCTTGCTAGTAGGGGGTGAAGCGGCTGTACCCTCCTCGGCACAGGCTGGCCTGCAACATCAAAGACGACAAACAGCCAGTCAGCACCGCCTCGGGGGTGGGGGCAAAAAGAAATCACTAAATCCCACTGTTCGACCCCTTGTGAAGGTTCGCCTTGGCGGGGAGCGAGCGCTGGTTCTCATGGCATCGGGGGGCCCTGGGCCTAGTCCTTCCATGCTGGGGGTGACGGGGGCCAGGGGGCTGCCAGGGTCATGGGCCACAGCGCTCCTGGACAATGAGGTTGGAGATGCCTCTTAGGCCTGGCCCTTTCCTGGCCCCCTTCGCCTTAATGGGGGCGGGGGAGGTCTCAGCACCCCCCGGGGCTGCCTGCCTGGGCTTCGGGCAGGACTCAGGACAGGGGAGGGAACCTCCTGCCAGGGCTCCCCAGGCCTTGGTTCTGCCAGGAGGGCCTCTGCCTGCTCGCCTGGCCCCTTGGAGCTTCAGGGGGTTCCTGGGGTCCCTGCTCTTCCCCCAGGTCCTTGCCTGGGCCCTCCGTCCTGCTGAGGAGGACAGGTCTCTGGCGCTCTTGCTCCTGTGTCCCTTGGCTGCCCTGGATCGGAGACATCTCAAGAGGAACCTCCTCCCCAGTTTCAACAGAAAAAGGAAGAAGATGGCAAATGCCGCAGAAAAAAACTTGGGGGGAAAAACCGGAAACTTAAACTAAAAACGAGAACTTAAGGGGGCCCCTCTGTGAATGAATGAAAGCTTCTAGCCAGCAGCTGCACAGAGGCCGCGCCGACCCCGGAGCCAAGGGGCCCGCACGCTGCACTTCTGGGGCCCCCATCTGGGAGGGGGCGGCCGCAGTCGCCGCGGGCTGCTGGGGATGCCAGGAACTTGTTAAAAACCAAAAAAGAGAAAACAGAAATTGGGAGGGGGTCATCAAAACCAAGGGAGAAGGAACAGGGAGTCCCTGTTGGCTCTGGACCTCCCTCTCCCCCACCCCGGAGAAACGTGTTCATCTTTGATGCTGGACGCCACGCTAGCTAAAAAGCGACATTAACAGCCCCTGGGGCTGGGGGTGGGCACAGGAGACAGTGTCCCCTGGAAGCAGGTCTTAGGGTACAGAGTGAGCTGGGCTGCATGTGTCCACAGCTGGTCACACACACACAGACACAGACACACACACACACACACACACACACAGGCCCACCAGGAGTGCGCGCCGGCTCAGCCGGCCACAGTGCCACGGAGGTGGCCTGTGGGGGCAGCCCTCGTCCCTCTCCTTGAAGTGAGGAAAAGGTCAGTGCCAGGGCGGGGAGGAGGGGACGACAGGACACACAGGGTCTGCGGTGAACACACCCCCACGAGAGGCGTGGAGGCCCTCCTGGCCTCTGGAGCCTTGGAAAACAGGGAAAAGCAGGCATCCCAGGTGCTCCCCAGAGGATCAGATGTCCTTACTGGGCAGCTGCCCGTCCGGACGGAACTGCCTCCCCCAAAGTCCCTGAGGGCACCAAGGGGCACATTCTCCCCCAAACTTCCATCTAGCCCTCGGTCCTTCCGGGCACTGGTCAGAGGACTGGGTCATTCTCAGGGCCTGCCCACCCCATCCTGGCCGCGGCGCCTGGCCCTCCTCGCCACAGCCGGTGCCCAGGGCCGGGCCGTCCCTGCCTCCTTACCATGGTTCCGATGCTGTAGGTCGCCGCAGGGCCGATGGTGTGGTGGTAAGGGTCAGCGGCTGCATAGACCCTGCCGTAACTAGGGAGAGGAACACAGGGAGGGAGACGAGGGAGGGAGGCGGGTGAGGGACAGTGACGGGCGGGCGAGGTCTCCCCCTGCCTCCCAGACATCTCAGGAGTGTCCTCCAGTGCGTCCCACCTGCCAGCCAGCCCTGCCCCCCGCCCCTGCATGACCTCCTCCCCAGCCTTTCTGCTCGTTTAGAACAAAGCGTCCAGAACACGGCTGGCCACCCTCTCAAGTCTCCCAGTGTCCACTGGCCCTGACAAGGGGCCACACAGAAGGTAAAAGGGGCCCTCCCAGAGCGGCGGTCGAGGAAAGCTTGACCCCCAGAATAAGGGCAGGGTGCTGCAGAAAGGCTCAGGGCAGGACCAGAGGACACGGGGGCAGGCAGGGAGATCACCACGAAGTGTTCTGTGGCCCCTTGATGACCTTCCTCTCTGTTCAGTGCGTGTGTGAAATGCCAGCTTCTTGTGGAGCAGGCTGGGCCCGCTGTGCACCCCATAAACCCCCATGTGAGATGGTGTGGGTCCACGGGTGCCCCTGGGCGGAAGGGACAGGTGGCCGTCAGGCCAGAGCCCAGCACGTGCCTGGTGGGAGGACTCTGTGCCCGTGTGCCAGGCCAGGCCACCCCTGGGACAGCCCCTGCGTCCTGTAGACCCAGAGCTACCCCCACCCCCCGGCCTCTGCGTGTGCTCGCAGCTGGCCAGGAGGCTGGCGGCTCTCAAATGGCCACATTGTCCCCCTGGTGTCACTACACTGTGCCACCCCCCCGCAAGGAGGGCACGCTCACAGCCTCTCCTCAGCATGAAGGGGCCTCCGACCTGGAAGCCCTGAGCGGGGTCAGAGGGGCATCTGGGGGCAGAAGTGGGGCCTCCTAACTCCCCTGCTTACAGGAGGTGGGGGGGTGCCTCCATCGCTTGGGGAGGGGGTCAGGCCTCCAGGGCTGGGAGTCGGAGGAAAACTGAACTGGGGGGTGGGGTTCACGGCCTCCCCCAGCCATGCCAGTAGGAAGTGACTGAGACTGAAGCGAGTCAGGGGACTCAGACACGCTCCCCTGCGTCCAGGTCCAGACCCTGTGCCACCAGACCCCCAGGCCTGGGCCGTGGGGAAGTCTGAGCCCACCCGTCCAGGGCCCCATGGTCCTACTGTCCCCTTCACCCCGACCGCTGTCCCAGCCGTACCTGTCACTATAGGCTGCTGCGGCCGCCGCAGGCTGAGCGTATCTGTAGGCTGCGTAGCCCCCCTGCAGGGGAACGGGGAGGGAGAGAGCACAGGGACTTAGTGGTGCGGACACGGTCTTCCAACCTTTGCCGTGGCCCCGAGGGCCCCGGCTGGCGCAGGCCTGGTGCGTGCACCTAGCTTCTGGTCTACCGGAGGTCTCAAGCCCGCACAGTGGCCGGGTTCGAGGGGAGGGAGTGGGCACAGGTTCAACACACACCGGTGGGCCCCAATGATATGTCTGGCTGTGTTTGTGGCTTTGACTCATGACCAGTGCCCACAGACCTGCCACCAGCCCAGTGAGCCCCTGAATTTGATGCCGGGGACACCGAGAACCCATGGGGGACTCCGGGTGCCATCCTGGATACTGGGAAGGGTCAAGGGCAGACTCAGATCATGTCTTGACCCTGGCACAAAGGGACTGTTGAGTTATGGGCAACTGCTCAGGATGACATGGGTGCCCATGGGGGCTCACTCAGTGACCCCAGTGTGGTTAGGGAAACAGGAGAGCCACCCCTGTCTCCATCACCCAGTGTCCTGTGGACTGGAGAAGATGTGGGCATAGCCCAGGCTCAGCTATGCTGAGGTCCCTAGGGACCCCGTGTCCTGGGCACTCTCACCCTCCCGGGTTCCAAGGATAGGGAGGGATGGGTGGGGGAGGGGTAGACCCTGGAAATCAGCTGAAGGCCTGGACCGCTGTCCCCCCACCCAGCCCCCATCCCCCCGGGGCCGCACTCACATAAATCTCAGCACCGTAAAAGCCATCCTGATACACGACCCTGGAAGCAAACGGACAAGAGAGTGGTGGGAACGCTGGAGAGGTGGGGTAGGCCGGCTCCGGTGTCTGCGGAGGGAGGGGGCAGGTTGCCAGCCCTGCCCATGGGACTGGCATTTTAACAAGCGTTTGCTCCAGTGCCCTGTTTTGGTATAACAATAGAGTAACACCCTTGCTGGTCAGCTCCGTTCTCCCACAAAGCCATGGGCCCCTCGGCCCATGTGGCTTACCCTCCCCCCACCCCAGCCCAGGCAGCTGCTCCCCCCATCCAGGCAGAGGGCACTGGGCCCAGGGGAATGGACCAGAGAGGGCTTAGAGCAGGCCCTCGCTGAGCCCAAGGGCCAACCACGATCCCATCCAATCATCCAGCAAGGTGCTGGGGCTCTAAATGTCCCCCAAATGCCAGTGACCCTTGGTTCCCATGGCAGGATGGGGTTGGGGTACGATATGGGGGTGACTGTAGTGTGAAGGTCTGGGGGTTCCCACAGCGCCCCGCAGTTCTGGAAAGGCTGCCTTGCCCCTCTGGCTGCCCAAGGCCTCCCTCCCCGCACCCCCTGGGCCAGTTCTCTATGCCTCCCTCCCCGTGCCTCCCCAGGTACTCACGCTCCGTAAGTTGGGATGGGGGGCGGGGGCGGCGCAGCCCGAAACGTATTATACACGGCCCGGCCCCGACCCCGTAGGTGCGCGCCCCTGTAGGCAACGGCTGTGCCCGTGGTGGGGTAGGGAAACCCCGTCACTGCAGGAAAGGGGGCCAGAGAAGAGGCGGTGAGAGGAAAGGCCCAGAGACAGTGCGGGCAGGCCAAAGGGTCCGGCCGGGCGCAGCCACACCTGGCCCCGCCCAACCACACCTGCACGACCACGCCCCAGCCTACGCGCGGGCCACGCCTCCCGCCTGGCCACGCCCTCTGGCCGCTCCCCCCCACAGGCCCGGAACGACGGCTCCAGCCTGTACCTGCATAGAATTCAGGCCCGTAGACGGCGCCTACCACGGGGTTCAGCTTCCAGCCTGGAAGAGAAGCAAAACAGCCCCAGTCACCGTCTCCCCATTCTCTCCCCATCTCACACCATCCCGGGGCCTCCCACGTAGGGCGGGGCCTCTGCAGACGGCGGGCCGGACCCCTCCTCCTGCAGGCAGGGCGAGCAGTGGGCACCCGGGCCTCTCGGGACGCTGCAGCCTGACCGGGTCTGACCTTCTGCTCCCTAAATGCCAGGGACCAAGTCACTCCTGACCCATCTGTCTTTGTGATTCCACCCCCCCGGCCCCGCCCCCGGCCAAGCCTGCCCGGGGCCCCAGCCCTGCAGCTCGGAGTCTGCAGTCTCTGCCGGCATTCGGAAGGGACACCTGCAGGCCCACAGCCGGGATGAGGGCTCTGGCGGCGCCCCTGCTTCAGCACAAGATAGAGCCCAAGCATCCGAGCGCTGCTGTCCCTTAGGAGGCCTGGCTGCTCTCGGGGTAGGGTCCTCGCAGCCGTGAGGGGCGGGGCTTCTGCCACAGCCTCCTCCCACCTCCTGCCCCGCAGCTTCTGTCCTGGGGTGGAGCTCCTTCCCCACTGCTGTCCTGCCCTGGCCCTCCCCAGAGCAGCAATGGAAAGGCTTCCTGGGGAGGAAAGGGCCTTAGGATTCGAGGTAATGATAAAGACAACTGACATTTCCTGAGCACCTCACCCTGGGCCACGCTGGTCTAAACCCAGCCAAGGAGGTGGGTGTCACGCCCTCCCATTTTATGGATGAGCAAGTGGAGGCTCAGGGAGGTGCAGCAGCCTCACAGCCCAGAGCTGGCAAGTGGCAGAGCCAGACCCAAACCATACCCACACTCCTGGCCATTTCCCAGCCCCCAGCTGTCGTCTTCGCCTGCCGCTTCTCCCCGTCTGCAGGTGGGTGGGCTCAGGCCACTGGCTTGGGGCCCTGGGCTTCTGGGCCAGTCTTCCTCTCCCACCAGGGACCAGGTGCAGAAGTGCAGCCTGCTTCCATCTGAGGCCCCCAGGGGTGGACGCGGCTGGCTTTGAGGGCGCTCTGGCCCCAAGCGCTAGCTCAGACAGCACGGGCTGGGGATGTATACTTGACCGAGCCCAGCCCCCTGGCCCTACCAGTGTATCTGGTCTTATGTTTGCAGGAGGCCCTGAAGGCTCAGCTCCATTTCCCTCTTGACTTTGTGAGGAGGGACAAAAGGGACTGAGCCCACTGGCCAGCTAGCGAGATACCTCTGGAGAGTGTGGCAAAGAGAGAGACCAGGCCATTGGTGTCAGACTCTACCTGTGAGCCTCATACCCAGATTCTAACATCCCTGTTGGGCATCTGGCTGGAAGGCATTTAGGACAGAGTGTCTGCGACCATGTTCCTCCTGGGGGCCCGTTCTCCACTTTCCATGACCCTGTAGGCCACCTTCCCTCCCTGGTCACCATCACCTGACCAGCGTGCATGTCTGTGTCTGAACGTTACTGCTGAGAATCTGGAGCCTTCTCTAAATCCCCGATCAGGAGGGAAAAAAGGTTTCATCTCCAGTCCCACGAACTGAGTCTTCTTAGTAAAAACCCATGACGGAGCAGAGTCCCGGAGCAATGGCCCGAGCCCACCTCCTCCGGGCTGCAACCCAGTGGTTGTTCTGGGTCCATTCTTGAAGGTGGAACTTCTCTTGAGATGGTCCCGGCATGTGCACCCGCTGATTCTCGAATCCGGGGCCTCTGTCACTGCTCCCTGGTGCCTCTGTCACTGCTGCCCGTTCCATTTCACTGTGCGGGACTCCAGATGAAGAGGCGGCCAGAGACCCTCCTGGGCGGCTCCTTTGTTTCTTCTGTAAACCATCTTAACACCTGGTCAAACCTGGTGAGCTCAAGGCAGACACTTCTGCTCCCCTCCCCACAACTGACGAACTTCTGAGTGTTCTGGAGTGTTTGAGCAGGGCCGCCGTTCCCCCGCATGGGGTCACCAGAGCCCACACGCTGTGCTCCACTGTCCGCCACAGAGAACCCGGGCCCGGCCCACTGCGGCCTTCGTCCTTCTTGCTCAGGCCGGTGAGGACGCTTCCGTGAGACCGTCACTGGGAGCACTTGGCCATTCTCGCTGTGCGAGCAGCGCTGCTTCCGTGCCCATCCTGCGCCAGGAACGCGGTCGCTCAGAGCCGGACTCCGTTCGGAATTCTGCTTCCTGACTCCTCAGGCTCTCCCAGAGAGCCAGGGGGGTGGGGGGCGGCTCTTGGATGAAGCAGGCATCTGGCTCCCAGTGATCTTCCTGACCCTCTAGACACGTCTGTCTACCGCTCTGCCTTCCTGAGCCAGCACACAACAGGAGCTCGGGACACTGGCTAAGCCAGGGACCCCCAGAGTTTTAGGAAAATGTGAGCTTTCATAGTCCTCGGGAAAGCAGGATGGGAGCCAAAATAATCTAGTCTAAATGTGGACCCTGTTGTGTTCCAGGAGGGTCCCTGGGGAGGCCCTGCTTGTGGGTCATGTGGCGGATCCCCCCCTAGTGTCCTGCCGTTGCTGGCCTGTCACCTGAGTCACACAGGGACAGGAGGGCTGGGGGCTGAGAAGCCGAGGCGTCGGCCTGCAGGGAGGCTCACCCTGACTGAGCAGGGCCGCCGGTCCCCCGCATGGGGACAAACTCAAACAGGCGAGCATTGCCGGCTGCGCTCCAACCTGTAAGCCCGTCTGCATTGCTGGTCGGAGCTGAGACGCGCAGGGACCGAGGGCCACCCCTCCACTCAGCCTCCGCGTTTCTGTCTTTGAGGAGGATGGGGTGCCTTGGCTCAGGCCCTGGGCGTGCAAGGCAGACCACTCAGCTGAAGTGCATCACGGAACATGAGGCTCCTGTGGGGGCCTCAACCTTCCAGGGTCTGCAGGGCAGGGATGGGGAACTGCCCTAATCTTCACTTTCACTGAGTATCCAGGACCTCTAGCCCAGGCACCCCTCACTGCTTAGAAACTAAGTAACGATCCATGAAGCGGCCACCACACCACCGTGGGGTGCCCGAAGCCTGTCCACATGGGTGTGCTGTGGGCTTGGGAAGGCCCAGGCGTCCTGCCAACTCTGTGGGTGGGGTGGGCGGCCCCAGCCCTCCTCCAATCCACCCCCTGCTGATGCGGCAGAGCTGGGACACGAGGAGACACTCAGCATCCGAGGGAGGGGGGCCTCTAGTGGCCGAGGCCCCTGCAGGGCCTGTGTCTGGACCCACGGCCTCTGCGGCCTCCCCGAGGTCCTGGGCTCCTTACCGTTAGTGTAGGGGTTCGCAGTCTTCTTGTTGGTCATGACGCGGGCTGTGGCATTGTTGACCTGCCCAGAGAGAAGGGAGAAGGTGAGGATGAGAGGAGAGTTAGCCTTCCCGTAGGCCTCTGGCCACCCCGGTCCTGTCCCGCACTGCTTCCACACAGCCGCACGGAGGGAGCTGGGAGCTGGGAGGAAGGCCCAGGACAGTCGCTGCTGTCCACCTGGCCCCCAGCCCTGGCCTGCCCTCCTCCTGGGCCTCCCCTCTCCACTGTGCTGCCCCCCACTCCGGGGAGCCTTGGCCACCACTGCTCCCAGCCCTCAGCTCAGGCACCGTGTCTGGCCACTGGTTCTTGTCCTTCACGTCCTGCTCCCACAAACCAGGCCCAGTCTCTCTCTGACAACCCAAGGCCACTGGAGAAGCTGCCTGGTGGACTCTCCACAAAGTGCCCTCAGCCTGACCCACCGGCCCCAAGACATTCTGTGCCCTTGTTGGCTGCTGAGGCCTTCCAAGTCCTGGGCACCCCTCTTGTGGGGGTAGCGCGCCATTCCTGAGGCCAGCAGAGAGCGCTGATGGGACCCCTCAGGAGCAAGGCCAATGGGAGAGGAGGGGGTGGGTGCCAAGGGGGTGTGTCCTATCCCCAGGCTAAGACCCTCCCCCTAGAGGCGCAGACTGGGGTGTAGAAAGGCGAGGGGGAAGCCCTCTGTGGGAGGAAGTAGAGAACCGGGCAGGTGCTGGAAACAGAGAAAGGAGTCTGGGCCATTCTGTGTCCCCCACGTCCAGTATGAGGCCCTGGACCTCAGGCTGCGTCCCCAGGTGCCCGCCGGCCATGGCCACTGGCTGAGGTCAGTGCCTGTAGTACCCCCTCTGCTTCCAGAAACCCTCCCCTCAGGCCTTTCCACTTCTCTTCCCGTGGACTCTGCACTTGCTGCGGACCCTCTCCTCTCTGACCACCTCCTGCTGCCCTTCCTGCCTGGGAGCCCAGCTGCCAGACACCCAGAGCCATAGCACTGGGGCGGGGGGCACAGGCAGCCCACCAGAAAAGGGGCAAGGGGGGTTGAGCGGGAGTCCCTGGCCTCCTCTCTCTGCTGCTTCTCCGGGCTCGGTCCCTTCCTGGCAGTTGGGGAAGGTGAGGTTGGGGGTGGGGGGCCCTGTGGCTCCCTGCTGGGAAGGGTCGGGGCATTAACAGCACCCCCCAACCGGGGGACAGACAGAGCGGGCTCAGTCCTTGGAGCGGCCAAGCCTCAAACATGATTTCGGGGCTTCTCCCGGGGTCTGGCTGGTGCCCATAGTTGGGGGGCCTCCTCCAGAAAGCAGAGATGGGAGCCCTTCGGTGGGCCCATGAGGGGTGCCAGGACAGGGGTCGGGCCCTGCCTCCCTGCTCCGGGGACCCTGGTCTGTCTCTCCGCAGGGCGGCTGCGGGGTGGGGGAGGGGCACCTGGGCGACAGCGGCGGTTCTCAAGGGCACGCCCTGCGCAGCGCACTTATCTGAGCACCTCAATTTTCCGTCCCTCTACGATCGTCCCATTCAGCTTCTCCCGGGCTCGGTCAGCGTCTGAGCTAGTTTCAAAAGTTACAAACCCAAAACCCTGTGAGCGGAGAAGGACAGGCACGGAGAGAAAGGATGAGAGGAAGGAAGACATAGGAGGAGTGGGGTGGGGGGCAGGGCAGTGGGGGGTGGAGAGAAGGGGGGGAGGGGGAGAGAGAGAGAGAGAGGGACTGAGTCAGGTGAGTTGAAGGAGAGGTCGGCAGCCCAGAGACCTGCTCTGGTGCTACCGGCAGGATGCCCAGGAAGGGTAGGGCCCCAGGCGGGGGCAGCTGTGGGCCTGACCCGAGCCTGGCCTGCGCCGATGGCCAGGCACCTCCCGGAGGACAGGCCAAAGCTCCAAGAGAGATGCTAACCTGGGCCAGAGACCAGGACGGTCACCCTGATGCCCCCTGGGGGGCAAGGTGGGGCAGGGGGCGGGGTGGTCAGGACCTCTGGGGGCAGCCCCACCCCCCTTCGCCCCAGGAGCCTGCATGGGGGTCTTCCCTTGCCTGTGCAAGGAGCAGGATTTGTCTGTGCCAGGCCCCCTCCCGCTGCCCACCCTGCAGCTGCACCCCCAAGCCTCCAGCTCTGGGCAGGCCAGCGGCCCCCCCAGGAGGAGCGGCTGGGCAGGTGAGGCCCCGGACCAAGGGGCCCAGGGCTCCGGGCGCAGACAGAGAGGTCCTGGCAGCTGGGAGAGAAAGAGACGTCGCCGCTGCGGCGACAACACAGACAGCGGGGGCGGGGCGGGGAGGGGCGGAGGAGCGGGGAGTACAAGCACCCGTGTAGCTCAGGGGTCCTCGGGCGCGAAGCTCTCCAGGAAGGAAACGCACATTTCACACGTTAGCCTGGCGGGACCTACAGCCGGCGCGGTAATGGTGGCGGCCTCTGGGCGGCACCCACCTTGGAGCCCCGCTCGTTAAAAATGATCTCCACGTCTAAAATTTTTCCGAATTGCTGCAGAGACAGAGAGGGGTATGGGGAGACAGGGGAGGGTGGGTTAAGAGCGCCGCCCCCGCCGTGCGCCTGCTTCCCGGGGGACCCTCACCTGCTGCCCGGGTCTGGCCGCTGCCCTGCTCCGCCAGCCCCCTGCAGGGAAGGGGCCGCGCTCCTGGTGGAGATCCTGGAGAGAAGTTCCCCTGCCTAAGGGCCAGGTGGGGGCTGAGGACGGGGGGGAGGGGCAGCCTCCCCCAAGTACCTCCCCTCTCCTGGCCAGGACTCTGCCCCATTCCTGATGGACACCTCTAATTCACACTAAAGGGTAAAGGGCTAAGGACAGGTCCTTCCCAAACGGCTGGGTGCTGGGAGGGGAGCAGGTACCCCTGGGAGAGACAAAGTGCTGTGGCGACCCCATACCGCTAGAGTTTGTGCTGTCTGGGGCTGGGCTGTGTGGGGTACAGAACCACACCGACCCCAAACCTCTCTACTGAACTAGGACGTGCCAGCAGGCAGGCGCAGATGCTGTGGTGGGCCCCTTCCTGCCCCATCGCTGGCCCAGGACCCCCAGGAGAAGCTCCGGCTCCTTCATAGTCACGTGAAACTAAATCCCCAAAACCGGGTCCCCAGGGGCCTGTCCTGCGGCCTCCAGTGTGTGTAACTGATGGGTGTCCCCGACATTCCACAACGCTGGGAGCCGGGTGTCTAAAGGAACAGTGACATGACACAGAGCAACACAGCAGTGAATCCCAACTCTGACGAAGGCCAGAACGGGGAGGATGGCGCCTGTCTCGGTGTGGGGATGGGCTGAGTGGACGCCCCGGTGTGGGGACAGGGTGAGCCCCGGTGTGGGGACGGGTGAGCGGACGCCCCGGGTGTGGGGACAAGTGAGTGGACGGCCTGGTACAGGGATGGGGTGAGCTCTGGTGTGGGGACGGGTGAGCAGACGCCAGTCGGTGCCCGTTGTACGGGGACAGGTGATGGGAGGCAGACTGAGGGTCCTGGTCCAGGTGAGCTCCGTAAGGCTGGCAGCAGCCTGGTCCAGGCCAAGACGAGCCAAATCCTGATGATTCCCAATTTCATCGGCCCTCACTGTCTCGAAGCCCCATGTGCCGTGGGGCCCGGCCTCCAAGAAGGGCGGTGGCTATTTGGGGCTAGGTGTGGGTGCTGGGTCCGTCCCGGGGCCACCCTCAGGGCAGCTCCCCTTTGACGAATCCCATCTGGGAGGTGGGTGGCGTCAAGGCAGGGCTGGGGCTCAGGGACCAGAGCCCGCCTAGCGTGTGGCAGGGGTGAGGGCAGGCACTGTGCCAGCCACGGGGAAGAGGGTTTGGGGTGAGGGACACAACGCGGGCGGGCCAGGCGCACGAGACTTCCACGGCCGTGTGGTTCTCAGACGCATGGCCCTGCGGCTCGGCACAGCCACGCTGGCTTCCCGCGGTCGGAGCACCTGCCCAGAGCCCCGCGGGCACGGCCCGGAGCGACACAGTGCTCGGCCCTCAGCACGCAGGAGAGGCCGGGGCTGGGCTGAGGCCAGGAGGCTGAGCTGCCTGTCCAGGTGCCTTCGGAAGGCACAGGGGTCCCTGGAGCCCTGGGCGAGCCCCTGGGACTGCAGAGTCATCACTGACCCGGCACTGGCCTCAGCCCCGAGGGGTCCCTACGAGGCCCGGAGCACAGGCGGAGCGCGTGGGGGGTGTGTTCTGGCCGCTGCTGCTCCCTGAGCTTAGGACCCCCTCCTCCCGTCCATCCCGCCGCCTCGGGTCAGGGCAGGGCTGGCCCCGGGAGGCAGCGAGGTCCCGGGGCCGTGGGGATGAAGGGGCCGCACACACTCACCCCGAACATTTGCCGCAGGTCGGGGTCCCTGAACCGGAAGGGGATGTTGGAGACGTGCAGCCGCTTGGGCTGCTGCTTCTCTGTGGGGTCGGAGGGGTGGAGTGGCTGGCTGTCCGTCTGGGCCGCCTCGTCTGTCTGCTGTGGGCAGAGGACCCGGGCTGTGAGCTGACCCTCTCAGCACCCACCCCGCAGGGAGGGGAGGGTCTAGAGGCCGGATCCCCCAGCCCCCTGGGTGTCCCCATCCTGGCGCGGGGGCGGACGGCCTTCCCTGCGCACCGCCTCTCAGCCGCGGAGCTCCCACCGCCAGGCCTCTGTGTGGGCTGCGCTGGCCGCCAACGCGGGGCAAGGCCTCCGGTGCTGGGGATGTCTCCACTCCCCTCTCCCGGCTCTGCCCTGTCTGCAGGGCTGTGACCTGAACGGTCGCTCAGCTCCGCCGTCAAAGTCAGGGTTTGCCCTTTGCCAGACACAGCCCGCGTGCAGAGAGCATGGGGACCCTCCCGGTTTCCAAGACCTGATGAGAAGGTGCAGAGGCTTCAGGGCCCAGGCACGCACGTCTGTGTGTCTGTCTGCGGCCACCCCGGGCTGCCTCTCACCCTCCCCACTGCTGCTCGGCACCCGCCGGCGTGGCTGCTCTTCCAGGGCACGGGGCAGCCCAAGTTCAGCCCGTTGGTGCCCTTCCCCTTCAGGGACCCGAGCGTTAGGGTCGGAAAGACTGGGGGCTCGGGTAACAAAGCTGCCACAGGGCAAGGACCTCTCACCCTGTAGCGACGAGGGTCACTAGGACCTCAACGAGGACGACGAGGCTGGATGGCCTCCTTGGTGGCCTTCTGTAGGGACGGGCCACCCGCTCACTGCCTGGCTGGCCGTCAGCCTGGTTGAGTCCCTGCTGAGCCGCCACGGCACAGGCACGCAGCGGGCGCTGTCAACGGCGCCCTGAGATGGCCCGCTCAGCTCACCGCGACCTGGTGCTAGACCTTCCCGGGGACACAGCAGCGCCGCCCGCCGCCAGCCCCGAGCTCGCTCTGGCTCAGGGCACATCAGGGCACGAGGGTCGGCGAGCGGCCCTCAGCCAGGGACGGGCAAGGCAGGTGCACAGGTGGCCCAGCACCCTTACCTGGGGCTCCTCCGCTCTGTCCCCGTGTCCCTGGGGGACTAGCAGCCCAAGAACATGCCTCCCCGCTCCTTGCTCGCCTGCCCCAGTCCCCACTTCTGTCGGGGTTTTCTTGGGCTCTCGTTCCTGGCCTCTGTTTGCACTTGGAGGCTTGTCTGCTTCTGGGACGGCAGGACCTTGGCTGGGACACGAGGGGCGTCCTGGCTCCAGCACGGCTACCTTGAGCATCTCTGACACGCCTGGAGAGAGCAGGGGCCGGAGTGTCCCCGAGACCCACGCTGGAGTTGGTACGAGGGGCAGTGCTGGTGGCCACGGCCTCCCGCGGGGCCGGAGAAGCACCGGCAGCTGACAGGCAGCGGAGAGACGCTCAGACACCGCTTCCCACACATCTCCGAGCACTGCTGCTTCGCATAAGTCACTTTTTGGTGGGTTTCCTTGTGGTCCAGCGAAGGAGCGCTGACGGATACAACAGGCCTCCCAGAGTCAGGAGAGGGGAGCAGGGCCAGGCCACTGGGCCCAAGGCCTCCTCCAAGCCGAGAAAATGGAGCCCAAGGGCCTGCCAGTGGTAGGAGGTCTGTCTGTGCACTCCCGAGGGGCTGCCCTCATTGGTCGACCTGTTCATCCTTTCTGGAAGGAGGGGGCCACCTCCTACTCCGGTGCCTAGCCAGGAGACCTCCGGTCAGGCTCTGGGGCAGCAGAGGCCAGAGGTGAGAGGCGCAGATGCCATCAGCTCCCGGGCTGCTGGGAGAGGCCGAGCACCTGCTCACAGGTCCCTCACACTCAGCTCTGCGCTCCTACGTTGAAAGCAGCACACGGCATGTGATCCCCAGCGCGGCTGGAAGCCACCGTCCTCTTGTTCACCTGGGGTGTGCGTGACCTGTCCCAGCAGGGTGGCCACCCTCTGAGGGGCGGGCCAGGTCCTGACGCGTGTGTGTGCTCGGTGCCCTCCTCCCAGGCTGCCGAGTGATGTGCATCCACGGTGGGGCTGGAGGGGAGGCAGCGCCCGGGCCCGGGGGTCACCAACCAGCCCTAGGAGGCTATCGGACCTTCCACGGAGGAACCGCAGTCAGCGGCCTTGGGGTGCCTCAGGGACCCCCCGAGAGCTACTCCTGCCAAGCCAGGGACCTGCGGATTCCCAACCGCCCCCTCTGCTTCCCCGTTGTCCTCCTCCCTTGGCCCCGTTCGTCCCTGCAGAGAGCAGACTGGTGCGAGACCTCCTCCCAGAGGCTCGTCCACGCCCGAGTCCAAGCAGAACCCACCATGTGTGGCTCTTCCTGTGTCGTGGTCAGGGTGGGCAGCACCCTCTGTCACCAGGCCCTCCGCCCGGTGCATTTCACACAGCCGGGCCCTCTGTGGCTCCTGGGTACAGGTTGACTAAAGGAGGCACCCTGATTTTGGGAATTCGGCCAGAGAGGGGCATGTAATGCTACGGGCTCCGGCCTGCGATTGGCCGGCGGCGGCGGAGGGAGCGGCACCGTGATGGAGGCGGCTGGGCCGGTGACCCGAGCGGCGGCGCGCAAGAGGGCGCCCACGATCCCGGAGGAGCCGGAGCGGCGGCCGGGGCAGCGGCGACCGCGGAGGAGGTGGGCGGGGACCGGCGGCGGCCGCAGTCGTGGGCGGGGAGCCTCGGGGTCCTCGCGCGTGAGGCGGGTGGGGCTGCCCTCGGTCGCCGGCCGCGGGGCTCGGCTCGGCGCGGCGGGGCGGGCGGGTGGCACTGGCGCCCTCGCTGGCCCGGAACGGGGTCGCGCCCGGAGCGGGGCCGCCGAGCTGGTCTGTAGGAGCACGTGGCGGACGGGGGAAGGGTGTGCGAGTGGAAGGAACGGAGCGGACGCAGGCTCAGAGGCACGGAAGGGGCGGCGAGTCCGTCGCAGTCCGCGCTTGGCTCCCTGGGGGGGCACTGGCGCACCGGGGGGTCACCCGCACCGGACGGCCTGCTTGGCTCCCTGGGGGGCACTAGCGCACGGGACGGCCTGCTTGGAAACAGCGTCCCCAGTGTTGTTTAACCCCCCCGAGAGGGAGACCAGGGCTGTTTCCGACTGGCCAGGGATGGCCGCGGAGTGGCCGCGGCCGCAGGGGTGAGAATGCTGGGCGGGCTCGCAGGCGCCCCGATGCGCGCTGGGCCAGGGGGGCCGAAGGACAGCAGGGTGTGGGACCGAGTTCTAAAGGAAGTGTTTTCCACCGCCCTTGTGCTCTGGTGAGGCCTGAATGTCCCTGACCCTCCACCCACCCAGCTAGTTGCAGGGTCCCCCACGAAAGTCACAAGAAGTGGCGCGGGTTTGGGGAGATTGAGAGAATTTCCACGCGGAAGCCCGCGGCCAACAGACGGCGGCCGGAGCGTCTGCTCAGGTCCGCATGGCGACCGTTACTTCGAAAAGAAACCCAGTTTATTTGTAGGAGGAGCCGCCAGTGTCCGGTGTCGGCCGGAGGGCCGGAGGGCCGGCCGCGGCGCCAACACGGGCGGCTGCAGGAAGACGGCGCCCACTCGCCCCTTTGGTTCAATGCGTATTTCCATAATTGGCTTCAGAATATAGGTCCGAGAACAGTACTCCCTCCCCTCGGCCAGTCTGCCTGCGCCTGGTGCGTGTGCATGTCAGCATTCTTTTTCTTCATGCTTTTACTTCAAAAAACCTTTTTTTTTTTTTTAACTTCCTCATTGCTTAGAATTGAGGAGCAAGAAGAAGCCGTCTTTCGTGAAGTGGTCAGTTTTACCCCGGAGCCTTTGCCAGGTGAGACGGACGGAGGCTCGGAACGCTGTCTCTGTGTTCACTCTTGGGGCTTTGGGGCAGGCCCCCCGGTCTAGTGTTTTCTCTCTGGGTCATTGTCAGAGCATCTAGGGACCCCATACTTTCTAATCAATTCCTCCTTCCCCTCCTCTGAGCAGCTAGATATTACGACAAGGACACCACCAAACCTGTCAGTTTTTACTTCTCTTCACTGGAAGAACTCCTGGCCTGGACGCCTGACGCGGAGGACAGCTTCAACGTGGCCTTGGAGCCCTCCGAATGCCGGCAGCCCCCCTTGAGCAGCCAGAGGCCCCGGACCCTGCTGTGCCATGACATGATGGGCGGGTATCTCGATGACAAGTGAGGCTTTGCGAGGGCATCGCCCCGACGTTAATTCTGTTGCCTGAGACGGGGCTGGAGGGGAAGGAGGCAGGGAGAGGGACAGCTGTGTGACAAAGAGCACTGGGGGAGGGGGAGTCTCTGGACCAGACTGCTCTGACTGGGCGAGGCGCCCAGGTCTCTGGTGTCATCTCTAAAGGACCTGGGTCAGGTGAAAGCTGGGGCCTCTGGCAGGCCTGACACCATTTGCTTCCGGGGCGTGTGCGCCCTTAAAATCTGGTGTGCGGGGCGGATCCAGCAGCTGGCACCCTTTCCACACTCCTGGGCCAGAGCCGTGGTTCTCCCTGGACCCCTTCAGCTCTGACTGTCCTCGGCCCATCAGTTCCGGATGCCCAGCTGTGACCCTCCTGTGTCCCTCCCAGCCAGGGGACACTTCCTCCAGAGTTGCTGCACGGTCCACTTAGAGGTCTTAGACGTCTGTAAAACAGTCCTGGAGGGGACGATAGATGGGAAGGCCTAGTCCGAACTGGCCACCAAGGGACGGGCGGAGGCAGGAGGCGACATCTTGGGTGCAGCTCATGGTGGCCAGCCCAGCATTGGGTGTAGGGAGACCGTTCTGCAGAAATGGTGCAGGGGCTGCACCTGGGGCTTTAGCTCGAGCCCTGCCGCTTCGCTTTCGTCCTGCCCCGTCTTTGTCGAGGCTGACAACGCTCAGCCGTCGGGTCCAGCAGTGACCACCAGCCCGGCCTGGGGAAGATGTTTCCCTTAAGACCTCTTGATCTCAGGGTCGAGGTGCAGTCCCACTTCTCCCTCTAGCTGGGGTCTGCGCTGCGCCTGGTACGTAGCCAGCATCCCGGTCGCTGACCGGGACCAAAGAGGAGCTTTCCCGGGGTGCCCGTGTCCTGGGTCCTGACTGCTCCGTGTGTCGCGCAGGTTCATTCAGGGCTCGGCGGTGCGTAGCCCCTACTGCTTCTACCACTGGCAGTGCATCGACATCTTCGTGTACTTCAGCCACCACACCGTGACCATCCCCCCCGTGGGCTGGACCAACGCTGCCCATCGGCATGGGGTCTGTGTGCTGGGTAAGAGCCCCGGGGCTCGCCTTCTACTCACTCGTCAGTGCACCTGCCAGGTGACCAGCAACGAGAAGGCTTCTGGGGGCGAAGCGGTCCTCGCCTAGGGCTGCCTTGATCGGTTACGACAGGCAAGGGCCAACTTCCGGAAGGGACCAGGCCACTGGGTCACTGTCCTAACCAAGACAGTGCAGCTGTAGACAACAGGCAAACAGATGGGCTGTATTTATGAAGGGGGGGGGGGCGCGGACGTGGCCCGCAGGCCACAGGTGGCCAGTCCGTGGGCGCGGCTCTCTTCCCCCGCACCCGCGTCAGTGGTTGGCCTCTTCACCGCCGCAGGGTCGGCCCGCGGGGCGTGGGACTCCGCAGGTATCTGGGGCGGCTGGCGTGGGAGTGTGTAATGAGCTTGCAGGCCGGGCTGCTGTGCTCTTGCAAGAGCCACGCTTTCCTAACTGCTGGGTTCGCCTGCCCTCGTTTCTCTCGGCCCTGGCAGGGACCTTCATCACCGAGTGGAAGGACGGTGCGCAGCTCTGTGAAGCCTTTCTGGCCGGGGACGAGCGCTCGTACCGAGCCGTGGCAGACCAGCTGGTCCTCATTGCCCAGTTCTTCCGCTTCGATGGCTGGCTGGTCAACATCGAGAACTCTCTGAGTGTGAGCACAGCCTTCTCCTGGCACTTGCCCAGCCCAGGCCCCGCGCTATCCCTCCGTCGCTTTCCTCAGCGTCTCACTGCGGCCGGTTAAGTGATACCTCTGTCCCTTCGCTGAGGGACAGAACCTTCTCCGGCACCGTGT